TACAATTAGTTGTCAGTTACATAGTTGGTTGAGTGGTTTATTCTCTAGTAAATTAGCAGCATATTAAATACAAATTAGACTTAAAAAATTACAATTTCTACTCACACTGGTTTCGCTCCGTGAACAATGTAAAGAAGAAAGAAATTTTCGGAGGCACCCGCATTTATATCTTCTACAACCATAAGTACCTAAGTTATCTAAAACAACTGTTTTGAAATACATGAATACGCTCTTACAAAGACATACATAAATTCCGCTACTTTTGTTCAGCAACATTTCTTGGGTTGCCATCATCGACACACTACATTATTTAAATTTTATTGTAGCAGAAAGAAAAGTGAAAAAGTAGTAAGAAATAATCTAAAGTAGTTTAAATCTCATAGTAGTAGTATCTAAAACTGGACATTCTTTAGCGTACAAAGCAAATACAAATCAAAAGTAATTTTTCTACTCCTCTTTTGAAGCGTTTACGTTATTACCTTTTATTTAAATTCCTACGCCCTAATCAGTGGCTGCTTTCATTTGATAGTACTCGTATGCTATTAGTTTATTATACTTTCACTTTTTTAATAAAAAACTCTAAAATAAATACATTGAAAACAGAATAGTAGTAAAAAATAGCACGCAATGGTTTCATTCACGTGGTAGAAAAAATAAGTAAATGGTTACCCAGTGAACTCCCAAAAATTTGAGAATTACTTTTCTACTCTTTTTTTGAAATTACATACTACTTTATTTAATTTTGCGAAATTGCCCCTTTAGTAGATTTTAATCGTGTTTGCTGACAAAAAGTATCAGAAATGAATTAGCAGTAGAAACTAAAGTAAATAGTAGTTGATGTGAAATTGAAAATAGTAATGGGAAAGTTAAGAACTCTATTCATCTGCACTCAAAATCTAAGAACTACTTTTCTACTCCTACTTTGAAATTCGCTTTCTTATTACTAGTCCCGCTTGCTAAGAAAAAGTATTAAAAATGAATTAGTAGAAATTAAAGTAAATAGTAGTAGATGTGAAAGTGAAAATAGTAGTGGGAAATTTTAGAATACTATTAATCCGCTCCAAAGAATATTTTATCGCGCTTGATTTTATTCAATTTCCACCAAATTCATCCAATTCATTAAATCATATTCACCATTTTTCTTTCATATTTATAACGGACTGCATTCGTCGCAAAGTCACTTATATACGGTCTTAATGAGCTGTGCACAGTGCTAAAATCGCAGTGCCACTTATTTAAATTTATTTTATTTTAGTATCGCTTTTTCGCTATTCTCTTTTCATTATTACTATGATTACTATGCTTTTACCACCTCACCGCACGTCAAGACAAGTCAAGACAATCAAGACGAGCACTGTTCATTATGAACGTATGTTGTATATTTCTTTATTTGCACCTATGCAAATGAGCCAACACCCCGCATTGTTAATGTGAAATCATTTAATATATTCCTATACGCTTCAAGCAATTCATTAAAGTCAATTGTGATTAGTTGTGGAGCAGAAATATTAAACAAAAAATAAACCGCAAAATGCTGCAAGTTTTGAAAAAATAATAAAATGGGTAATGTAGCCGACATTATTAGCACTTGTAATGACTACAACAAACATATGTACGTGAATATGTATGCATAGAAAATTAGTAATTACAACAGCGTACAAATTAGTGCAACACTGTCTGTTTGTTGGCTGCAGCAGCTGCTGCGATTACAAAAACAACATTATAAGCTTAGTAAAGCGCCTCTGTGATTTTTCCCTTCATCTGCATGTGTGTGTGTGTGTGTGTTTCATATATTTAACGCTCATGCGTTTGTCCCATGCCATATTGCAATCGCTCCCATTATTAATTTTCGTTATTTAGTTATTTTTCATTTTGTCAAGTCATTCACTTCTCTCATTTTGCATGTGATCCCATATTTCAACATCGCTCCCCACTTAATATTCAAAGTTTGCGCAAACGTCTGTTTTTTTTTGTCCCAAGCGCAATTAGATCCTGCTGGAAAGGAGGTGTGAAACCAATGTTGCGACAACTTGTGGCTGTTGCAACTGCCACAGTACGTACATATGTACCACCCGCCGACAATTTGCTATTGCAATTTATGCGATTTTCCCGCGACTAAATAAAGATGCGTCTGGCAGCTCGGCTGACTGCCGCCACATTTAAAACGCATAGCTTTAATTGGTTTAATTTTCTATGAATGAGTGAGTAGAGAAAAATTTAGTGCGCAGACGCAGCCACCGTAGAAGTTGTACATATGTGCGTGCTTGTGGTACTCAGTTGAGAAATTGGCACACTTTTCTGCGGCTACCTGGCTGCTTTGGCTGCCTGTTGCTTTCGCAAGCGATCCAATTTGAATTTTCCAGCGCTGTATGCTGCTTGAGTTGAAGAGGCGCATGACTATGAGATGCTCAATGCTTGGCTGATTTTGTTGGAGTTGGGATGAGCAACACATGGCGTTTTGTGGGATTATAAGTTAGGCTTTACTGGCTTGCCTCTGCTTGATGAATGAATGATGCCAGCAAGTCTAGCCCACCTTCACTGCTTGTTTGCTTGACTGAGCGATTACTATCTTTGCCCTCTGGTAATCTGACCCGTACGAAATATGCCTAACTACCCAAAAATAAAGTAACTGTATTTATATTCACATTG